CCCCAAAACCCCAAAACCCCAAAACCCCAAAAAGATTGATAATAGAAAAAAAATTTTAATGATAATAAAGCTTGAATAAAATATAAATGTATGAAATATTGAATGGATATACTCCACAGAGACATTAGAGTACTTTGCAAAATTATTAGACAAAGGATCAGCAAAGTCCATATCAGGATTTACAAACAAAGTAAAATTAGAAAAGTAATTAATATAGAATAACTGCTAGAGACTTCAGTCAAAATCAATTATAAACAACTAAAAGTGAAAATAATTAGAGAAAATTACAGTCTTTATACTCTAAATAAAATAGAACCATCATAAATGAAAGTAAGAATGCTTATTAATTGAATAATACATAACCTATAATATTATTAATTTAGATTTGAGCTCCTCTATTATTAGTTAAGGTTACTCCCCTGAAAAAAGAGAAGTGTCAGAAAAGAGAAACTATCTCATTCAAAAAGCTATTAAAGAGAATGAGGAACTCAAGAAAAAATATATTAAGGATTTTAAGCTTGAAAATTCGATGAAAAAGGTTGGTTACAAATTACTGAAAAATACAGATGTTGAAACAATGAATGTCCTTATGAGTACTTATAAGCAAATAGGAGCACCTAGATCAAACAGAGTGGCAATAAATTCTCATGATTTGAAATACTCATTTTAGGATTATGAACTTAAAGACACCCAAAATTATACAAGAATAATTAAAATTCCTCAAAGAGAACATGAAGTTCAAGACACCTTAAATGGATAACTAAAAATCTATAAGCCTCCTGATATTGTGGTAGAACAGCCCTCTTAGTACAGAGAAAATTATTTTCAATTGCTAGCCAATCAAACTAAACCATTTAACAAGAGAAAATGTGATATTACTAAAGAAATTAAGCCTGTTATTTCAAAAGAAGTAGCTAGAGAGCTATCATCATAAGGCAGCAAAGAATTAAGCAAAATTAATCTATTGAATAACTTCAACAAAGGATCGCAAATGATGACAAGTTCTTTTAATTTATAGTCTCAGAAATCAAAATCAATAGGTAATAGTCACCAGCTTCGAGATTCAACCACAAATTATCAACAGACAAGTCAAGATAAAAGAAGCAACTTAAATGGAACGTTTAAGCTTGAACCGAAATTGCAAGATATTTAAATGCCAACTACCTCAAATCCCAACATGAGAAATAGTTTGATAGTAAAAGACAGTTATTCACTGAAAACAAGTGTGGTAAATAGAGAATCCTTGCCAATGATAAAGTAAACTTTGCTTAGTTCTCAGACTAGAAGAGGAAGCTAGCCTGATAAAGACTTGGATATATTTGCTAGTTAAGAAACTGAAAATAATGACAATGAAGTGTCAATATCTACTAAGAGATATCAGGAATTATGTATTAAGAAAAGACTAGGTGGTAACGATAAATCATATGATGAGCTAAAGAAGTTTCTATCTCCATCAAAGTATATTAATTATTTAGTTTAACTTATTAGGAAACTCGTAAGTGGAAGATCCAATGGAAAGATTCCAATGGATGCCATAGGAGGGTAAGAATTAAATGTTAATGATTCTGTATCCAAATTGTCTCTGGAATAGCTTGATAGATTTGATTCTCGAATGAGGCAATATCCTTCTCCGATGAGTAAGTTCTATTGCAAGGGTAACATAGCTAAGAATAAGTATTGGTTAGATAATTTATAATAAAAATGAATTAATTTAATAAATAGTAATTTTAATTAGCCACCTCATTTAGAGATTAGTTGCACTTAGACCCATTTTCAGTGAGTCTTCTGTCTTTTAAGAATGACCTTTTCATCTTTGCTCAACTTGCCCTTTCTTTTGAGCTTCTTTTTATCTTTATTTTTCTTTACAACTATTTCATCCTCTGGTTCTCCAAGGTAGTTGACACTCATGCACAAAAGTCTATGCTTAGATTTGATCGTTTTCACTGCCTTGATGTTGCCCATCTCATTATTAAAGCTTTATAATTTTTCTAAACTCCAAAAGCTGATACTTCCCTCTGTAGAGATTGAGATCACTATATCTGATCCTTAGATATGTCTGATTTGCCTAAACCTGGCTACTTTAGTCTATATAATACTAATTGTTGTAGTAGCTTCTGATTATATACCTTTAAGGTATGTAAATCTTCCATTCACGTCAGCCAATAAAAGTTCATTTTAGTTAATGAATTCCATACACACAAAAATAGCTTCAGAGGTAACACTTGATTTGGGCACATCAGAGTCAACTCCCAATATTTCTACTTTCTTATCATATAGGATAGCGTAAGCTTCTCCATTATCACCACCCCATTTAACTTATTGCACTTTATACTGCACTTTTTCTGTCTCCTCATTTAGTCCTAGCTTTTTCTTGAAGGTACATCTACCATCAAGCATGTTCCACAATCTAAACATATTGTTCTCATATAAAACCAAAAGCATTCTTCCTGAGGGATGAAGAGAAAAATTAATGACTCTTGAAACACTGTAAAGTATAAGATTAACCTATATTATCATACTTTTTAACTCTAAGCTTGTGCAGAGGAACCCAATCTTTGCATCTCCATAAAATGATTACTCCATCGTCAGATCCAGAAATCAAGTAAGTATTCTTAAAGAACTGCAGGCATGTTATAGAACCTTAGTGCTCCATTAGTTCTCCTTTCTCTTTTTTGGTCGAAACATCATAAAGTTTAATAATCTCTTGGTATCCACCTAGAGCTAATAATTTTTTATTGCCGTCCATTGCATTTATTGATCCCTAGAGTATTGTTAAAGAGATATTGCTTACCTAAATAGAATTGAAGGCATACTCAGTTTCAACACCTTCTTAAATTTGATCGAAATCAGTGAAAGATAATCCAAGTAATCCTCCCTCATAATTTCCAATAGAAATGATGTATTTGTCTTATTGTCCTCCAGACTCCATAACTCAATTGATTAATAAATAAAGAATTATTAGGTTTAGTAATCTTAGTTTAATAAAGTAATTATATCTATAAATTCATGGTCTTCCTTTTCTCCCCTTTTGGACTAGTTAACCACCTGAAATATCGGCTTTTCTATTTTTCTTATTGTAAGCTCTAAGAATGCCAATTTTGTCATTCTTGTGTTCATTAAAATTGAATCCATTCCTCTGGCCATTCCTAAAAACATTTACATTAAGTAATTTTACTTTAGCTAGAGGAAATAATCATCGAGAGATTTCTTTGATATTCCAACTTTTAATGCAGCATCTTCTAGACTTTACTACTTAAATGATTAGTCTGGCTATCTTTCTCCCACAGTGTATAATTCCCTCCATTTCTTAACCGCAAGAATAACTTCTCCAATCTTCCTTTCCTTTGTTCTTCTTGAGCCTTTACTCATATCAGCTTGACCATTTATTAATGCATCTGAATGCTCTCCTTTCGCTCTTTCTCTGAACTTCAGTTAAATAGAATCCTCTGCACCTACTACCACTTAAGAAATTAGTTCTTTGACCTTTAGAGTGATATTCTTAGCTTCTTAAATGTCTTTGTGAGCTGTCTAGGGTCTATCAACCCAGTAGTTGCCAATATAGATGAAGCATTTATATAAATCACTGAAGTAAGAGACCATTCTATTGTCGAGCTCTCTCTTCGTTTTATCATCTATTTATCGAATCAAGTCATTAAAGCTAACATCCTCTGCTTACTAGTCGATATCTACATACCTTTGTACTTCCCTCTCCTTTTCAGGTTTTCCCTGACCATTGGGCAGAATTTTGATAATAACTTTGATTTTCATTATATATTTATAATTTACTCTGAGCTAATCTATTAGTTAACAAGGGGTTTTGGGGTTTTGGGGTTTTGGGG